AAATATTATATTTTTAATTGTGTTGGGATTGTCACCTGTGGACATTTTAAACTGTTTTACATATTCGTGCAGAGGCATAGCCTCTAAAGAAAGGTTGTCTCTGCAATGGAAATAGTTGTTCCTGGTGATTAGACATGGCAAGTAAACTTGGACTCGTATCCAGATGAATTTTATGTTTTATTAAATTGTAATTCTGCCAGCCCATTTCTACAAACAAAATAAACTTATTATTCATAATACTGGTATATACTGCTATAATTAAAATAAGGCCTTATCAATTCCTGTATTTTACGGACTATAAGACGCACCTTAATTTTTAAGCAATGTTTTAAAAAAATAACATTTTTACTGCTTAAATTCAATTCTTTTATATGGAGTGAAGCAAACGCTGATCCACCAATCCATGCTTAGTAGCGCTATCAGACGTCCGCTGATCATACGATGGTTGCACGATGATCGCTGGCCAATCCACGGTTGTGGATTCAGAACCACCAGTCATCTCATGATCCGAGTTTCTATGGCGACAACCATTGCTCGTTTGAAATGAGAAAAAGCACGGGAATCTTACAACCAGACGATTATATCCCAACACCCCGCAACTCATGTTCGTCACATCGGTGCATTGCTGCTGCCAGTTGAATTCAATTTTGCTAGGTAGAGATAGGTTTCCCACGGCATCAAATATATGGCCATTTTTAAGACGCGGGAATTTTAAATCAAACACTGGACATTTTTATATTAATTTCGAGTATAAGACATACCTGAATTTTAGAGGCAATTTTTCAAAGAAAAAAAGTGTCTTATAGGCCGTAAAATATGGTAATTGTTTTACAATTAATTGATGAGGATTACTTATGAATCATTGTATACTAATTAATATTTTGAATTTTAAAAATATTTAATATTTACTACTTTAAATGAGTTTATTTTGTAAAAAGTTTTAATAAATTTATTATTTTATTATAAATTTTAAATTAACTTAAATCATATTTTTTAAATAATTAAAATATTAAAAACTGTATTCAATCTTCAACATTTTATTGTTTTAATTAATTTTTTCTTTATATATTTGGTTTGGAGTGCATTATTTCAATGTTAATATTTGAAAATTTTTTTAATAATAATAATTATTTAGAACATGTATATGTAATAATAATGTATTTTTAGTATATATATTAGTATATTTAGTATATTTATAATAATAATTATTATTATTATGTTCTAAAAATACACCTTCAATATCTGATAAAAGTTAGCATTTGTTTACTTAAAATGTACATTCATTGAAAAAGGAGTCTTTTGAATTCAACTATCACCATTTCTCTGACAGACAGTTATTTTGCATATACAATAATTTATCTTAGGATATACAACTTAAGTATTGCTCAAGCCTAATTGGGTTAATTGTTTTTCAGTGGTAAAGTATTATAGCTAAAAGGTACTCATATGAACATTAAGTACTTGATATCAAGTAGTGTGGCTTCTCCATTTGTGTGTGGAGTACTTGATATTAAGTAATAAATTAATTAAATCAATTGGAGATGAGTTTGTCATGATTTAAGCTTGTATTGGCTGTTGTCTTAGCTGGATGACTCTACTTTGCCAAATGAGGACATTGTTACCTCCCTCTAGTTAAAAATAATCCCATGAAAAGTTGCCTCCCTATAGTAAGTCTGTGGGAGGCCTTGTTGTTAATTGGCTTTTACAGTTCTTGTTTAAACACTTTTTAAGCTCTAATTGGTAATTTCTATTACAAATGACTTCAGTTCAACAAATGAGCATTTGTTCAGAACAGTCCATTCTAGATTTCTGGGAAAAGACACACCCCTTCAAGGTCATGCCATCAGAGTTAAAATGTAAACAAATGTTAAAAAGTTGCAATTTTTGTCATTTTTTAACTCTTAATTTTGGTAATTTCTAATTATGTGACTTTATTTAGACTAGAATGTGTCTTAACAGAAACATCTGTAACTTAAAATATGTAATTTGCCATAAATTTTCCATAAAACTCATCACATTTGGTTGTGTAATTGCGGGGGGGTTTGTTTGTTTGTTTATTACATTAAGGCAATGCAACACTTGGGTAATCTGCCTAGGGGAATGACTTTCAGGAGGTCTTTTAAGGGTAACTGGCCCCTATTCAGTCGTTACAGGCGTGAAGGAAACCCAGAAAACTTCATGCGGCCAGCCTGTTCTGGCGAGGCATGAACACATGACCAAACTTCTAGTGTTCAGGGAAGGGAACTGCTTGGCCACTGGTGGGTGGGGGAGGAAAATAATTAATTGCTTATTTTAGTCCATTATTGTAATATTCATTCAAATAATATATAGTGCCCCATATTCACTTTTTAAAACAAAAAATACATTCACATTTAGCTTGATTTAGATTCTGTAAACCCCACCATCCTCTGCAATTAAGCAGGAGGGCAAAACTTGGCAAAGTAAACAGATAAAAACTTTTCACCCAGGAAAGCCAGAGCCATGTGGTTTGTTTTGTTTGAAAGAAAACAGATGCCTCTAGATTTATAAATGCTGCAAATTAATTGGATCTTTTTAATTTTTTTTAAAGAACTTTTTTCTCAATAATTTAACATGAAAAATTATTTTAAATTTGTATTATATATTAAATTTAACAATTGTGAGAGTGATGTATTTGTGTAAAAAACAAAAAACAGATCAATTCTAGCCCGATTTTTAAGCAAAATATTGCAACTTATAAACTTTTTCATATGCTAACGCATTAAAAAAGTGGATTTGACTAATTACTTGAGCATATTAAAGGTTAAGAAAACTATTTATATGCAAATCTAACAATATAAAACTATGTTAAGCTCAAATACATTATAGACTTATATTAAAATAATATTAATGTATTTATAAATATTTGGGTGGACCTATTAACATAAAAACCATGTAGCGAGCCACATGCTGTGAATCTATAATTTATCTACGTCATATAATAAATGTTTTTTATCATCTGAAATAAATAAAAGGCACGTTTAAACCTTTCCAGACTAACTTTATTTTAATAATTTTAATTGATACAATTATTCATATAATTAATCTAATAACATATTCTATTGTATCAATTCAATTGACTGTCATCATCACTAAGATTTTGTTTAATTTACTGTTAATATTATGTAATTTATTTTGTTTAAAACAAAAATACTGTAATTTTAATAATCAATTTTGTATTAAAAAAATTTATCAAAAATATTGATCTAAGTTCACAAATAACCATAACAATAATTATCAAATATTTAATTATTAAATTGTTAATATACTTTACAACAAATTTCTACATAATAAAACTAATTTTACTTACGCAAAAGTTGGTGTTTGCAATCTGTGCTGAAGTTGTTTTAATAAAGGTTGTATTGAAGAAATCGGTAACATTTTTATAGTTTGAGTCATTATTTCGTGATTAGCATCAAAAACTCTCTAGAAAATAAAATATTAAAATTTATTATTTAAAATAATGATGATTTTTCATCATACTGCTCTTATTATTTTTTTAAAAAATAATTTTAGTAAGTTTTATTTTAGTAGATTTTATTTTAGTAAGATTAATATTAGCATTTTATTTAAAAGATATAATTTTTTTTTCAATGTAGCTACTTATTTAATTCAAAATTATTTTTGTGAATTCATCATTTGATTAAAATCAAACTGATAATTTAAACTCAGAAAATAAAAAAAAAAGTTTTTATGTAATAAACAATTTCCAGTATTATAAAAAATATTAAGTTCCTACATTTATATAAAATATGTAAATTAATTATTTGTATATAAATTTTACTTACTTCAATGTTTTTTTATTGCTGTTTCATATTACTTAACCAAATTATTAAAATAAATTTTAAATTTAAATTAATTATTAAGTGTAAATAAAATCACAGAAAATATATA